CATTATTTAACTGAACTAATTCACAAATTTCATTATAACAGTGCTTACATTTTTTAACTGAACTAATTCACAAAGTTCATAAGAACTAATTGTCACTCAATTGCATTGGTAGAATGTTTGATAGAAACTAAATGATCATATACACGTATACATACATTAATTCATTACTTACCATCTGCTTTAGTAGAAACGGGAAAATTACTACTCCAAAAACATCCTTAAATCATTGTTTACCAGCTGCATTGATGAAATGTTTAATAGAAAACTGATTATTACGTACATGCACGAAAATATTTTAACTCATTGTTTACCAGCCGTATTGGTTGAATGTTTAGTTAAAATTGAGTTATTTCTTATGCCCCTAAAAAGATCCTTAACGCTCACTGATCAGCTGCTTTGGTGGAGTATTTAGTAGAAACCGGGTGATTACATACACGTATAAATACATCAACTCATTTTTTTACCATCTGCTTTGATGGAGCGTTTAGTTGTAACTGAGCGCTTACATCATTAACTCATTGTTTACTGGATGATTTGTGAGAGGTTTTTACATATTATGATGATAAAGCTTTATTAGTTTGTTTAACAGAATGTCGTGAACACGTATAAGTACATTCCTAACTCATTGTTTATCCTCAGCTTGGTATATTTATCATTCATTAGACGTGTGGGGCTAAGTGAATATCACTGAAAGATTTTAAACCAAAAGATTAATATGTTGCCTAGTGTATAATACGTGTGTTCCTCAATTGTTTATTTTGGCTCGTAAGTCCAGCTTAGGTAATACATTGATATATGTATGTATCACATACGATGCCTTTGCGTTTTCTATTTATTCTACAATTGAAGGGGAAGGATTTAAGTTAACAATATTTTTGTTTCTATCTCTAGGTACAGGGACATTCGCACGAGTATGTCTTTGTAGAGATAAAGTGACTTCCAGCTACTATGCCTTAAAGATATTAGAAATGGCTGATGTAATCAAACTAAAGCAAGTAGAACACGTAAAGAACGAGAAAACTATTCTCCAGCAAGTTAAATTTCCTTTTATTATTGACTTGTAAGTATCCACGAGTGTGTTTTTTGTGTTTATCAAATGTTATCGCTTCTTAAAATAGATTAAAAATAAATAGAAAAGTTGGCAATTTATAAAAATAATATATGTTGCTTGCTAACGGAAATATAATATTACATAAGTTATACGGTACCGTTTGTTTACGTATTTATATATCATGTTACGAGTCAAGAACAACGTATCAAGCTAATTTATTGTCATAACTTACAATAACATATTACGCACACTTATCGTTAAGTAAACAAGAGGGTTTGATCTTTATGGTATGACTGCACTCCTAGCGGTTACCATCAGTCCAGAAACATATTTGGATCTTTATGGTGTGACTGCACTCCTAGCGGTTACCATCAGTCCAGAAACATATTTGGATCTTTATGGTATGACTGCACTCCTAGCGGTTACCATCAGTCCAGAAACATATTTTTTAAATTTTTCAATTCATTTCGATTTATTCAAGAAATAAGTAGAGTACACTCAATATAAAAATATATAATATAATTATAAAACATATGCAATCTCATAAACAAGAGAGAAGATCCACAAGATTACTCGAGTGTGTATCATAAGTAAATATATTATTAAACAATTAACAAGGTAATTAATATATCCTTCATTACGTTTTATGTAATTTAAACTTATTTAACATGTTATGATATTTTAGTACATATTCTTCAAGTTCCTACCTAGACTTTCTTTCTGGTTCCTCTGTATGAGTTATACATTTCTTTAATACTGACTTAGTATATATGTATATATATTTATTACTAACACCTAGTCTTATTTCATTTGGAATATTATTATAAAATGTTGGATCCTGATATAAATAGTTTTTTCTAAAGAGCTCCTTGTTTACTTTAGGAAGTTTCAAGTTCCCATGTTTTATAGCTAGTACCTGATGTATTGATTTTAATTTTGCCAATTTATATATGTGCAGTGAAACTATTTATTGTCTTGTAAATATATAATTTACACACCGGTAGTATATTTATATATTATGATCATACCATGGCAATGATGATATACATCTGATATTTTTTATAATTGTATTAAAACTTTTAAATTTATTAGCTAGGTACCTCTCCAGCAGCTGATGCCATATTGTAGAATTAAATCGAACCAACCATTTCATTCTCAGATAAATAATGCTTTAAATAGTAAAACCTTACTGTTGGTATCTTTAATTTTTCTCTATTAATTTAATGTTGTTGTTGTTTTTTTCAGTTGTATGATATTACTCCGAGATATTTAATACTTTCTCCTTTTTGTAGAACTGAGTTAATATATATATATTATTCTTAATAGATAAATATTCCCACATACAGTTCTCATAGTGTATTGGTTCGTTTTGAATTACTTAATTTTATCATTATTAACGTTTTTCTTTAAAAGATGATTGCCAATCACTTCCATTTGTTTCTCTACCAAACAAGCCCAAACACAAAGCAAGAAACCATCGCTAAGATACCAAACCAGAAAGTGACCACCCACTAAATTGTTCATCTCTCTTCTTCTTGTTTCAGTTGAGATAACTCTACAACTACTTTATCAGTAACGTCAGTTTAAAACCAAATCCAAGTGTTTTTTGGAAGTACACGATGTCATCGCTTAGACGTAATAGCTAGTAGTAATATTAAAAAATAATATTTCAAGTTTAAACGATGTTATCATTACCCCTTGAAGTTAGCTGTTTTTACAGAAATATGGTGTTCCTTTAAAAAGCGTAAGTACAATGAGAAATAGGAATTACCAGCCAATGAATAATAGATGAACATTAGATGAATGTAACATGTAGAATACTCAATGCTTTGTACACTATACAATCGGTATCTTTAGGGAGACAACCACTGTACCATGTACGAAGTGAAGGAGTAAAAAATCAGTACACATAATATTAAGTTTTACTACACTCATTCATGGAAGACACTAACTTTCAGTCAGGGGAAAAAGTTACAAAACAAGTAATAAAACACATTTTATAAATATATAATGATGTAGGGGATTGAGTGGAAGATATATATATATTCCTTGTTGTTGGTATGCAGTTTGTTTATCATAATATCATGGTCATGTCAGGGTAGGCATCAATGTAGCGTAACTAAGAGCCTAGGACTTACGTAAAAGGAAAACGAAGTTAAGTGAAACATATCTTGATTATAACAGATTCATGTTACAAGGTCGATCGAATTATCTGACCTCGTAACCATTTTGTACTCGTGCATTTTACAATGTAACATTAAATTTTAATATTGAAAGTCATGTAGAATGATCTATGTATAACTGTATCATCCTTATATTCTTGTTTGGATTATTTTTCGCACTGCCATCCCTACATCATTTTACATTTACAAAATACTTTTTATTACTTGTCTCAATTATTATTGTTTACTGTATTTTAATATTAGTTTTAATATCAATTAATTTTTTGCTTATAATAATTTGCACCCCAGTGGCACAGCGTAACGTTTGCGGACTTACAACACTGAAAACCGGGTTTCGATACCAGTGGTGGGCAGAGCACGGATAGCTCATTGAGCAGCTTTGTGCTTAATTACAAACAAACAAATTATAATAATTTATTTTAGTTTGTTTTATAAGCTACTTAGATATTTGTTTTGTAATTTATAAACCCAACCAATTAATTTCAAATTGGTAATTTATTTTTTGTATTTCTATAATTTTTTTTCTTTGTTGAACTATCAACACGGTTTCCGTCGATTTTGCCGACCACGTGACATCTTTGTACTGGTTTAAAGTCTTTATAGTTTTAATACTACTAACTTTTAATGTAGTATGTATATCTTCACAAAATTTGGCACACTTTAAGTAAACATTATTACTATGTCACATAGGAAAAATAATATTTTTAAGTGAAGTATTTTTAATAAACTAAAAAAAGATTTGTCCGTGAAAATATCAAGTATGTTTTTGACTAGTCCGTATGCAAAGTGATTTCCATGTTAAGATTAAAATGACTTTTCTTCATCTCAAAAATATCAACTTTCATTTGCGTAATCTCTAAAATCTCCTAAATACATTTCAAGTGTTTGTTTTTAGTAAAACTTCATATTTTATCTTTTATTTTCATTACCCTAACTCTATACAACGTTGGTCAATTTGACCGACCTCGTAACCACCAAACAAAATCTAAGCACATCTAAATTGCCCTTTTTTCTTTCTAGAATAACTTCAAATTGTAACATGAACTGATATTCGTTTATCCTAAGTATCTTTACACTGCTAACAGTATACATCTACTCATATTTAAATTTTACCGTTTTATTCGCGGAATTATAAGTTATAAATCACTTGGAGAACGTGGAACTCACGTTACGCTATCGAATTACATTACCCACGAGCTGCTCGCGTGCGTGCCTCCTGAAACGTTTTATTACATTATTATTATTATTATTTGTTTTACCTAATCTAACCTTAACTAACCTAAAGAGATCCCTTTTTTACATTTTAGGTACTTTTATAATAATAAATAAAGAAGAAGAACAAGAAATAAAGTACTAACTCAGGTCTTCTTTTTTTGTTGTCGACTGTCTGTGACACTTAACCCTACTTTTTTATACTAATGGTAGTAATGCACTAAATGATATTTATTTAATTAAATAATGCACCAAATAACATAGAATAATAACATGCAAAAATTAGAGAATTTCTCCTAACATTGTTTGTTTGTTTTGAAGTTAAGCACAAAGCTACAGAATGGGCTATCTGTGCTCTGCCCACCACTGGTATCGAAACCCGGTTTCTAGCGTTTTAAGTCCACAGACAATCCGCTGTGCCACTGGGGGCATTCTCCTAAGAGAGGGTGAATAGATTGTAATAATCCATTGACTTCCATGGTTTTAACTTTTTTCCCTGTTTATTTTTACATATTATGTAGATGATATAGTTACATTTTTAAATTTTATAATAGAATCTTCTTATTTAAAACGCATATTTACGTTTGATAGATATTACTGAAATTAGATTCTTTTATTACCTATCGTATTGACGTTTTGTAACTTATTTTCAATGCTTAATTAGTACGTACATTATCATTATTTTTATTAATAGTTTTATTTTCTCAATTAGTTTCAGAGCTCTGATAAAACGGTCTGTAATTCTACTTTTTATGACAGTAGTTTCTATGAATCTATTTTATCTGTTCTA